AGAGCGAGAGCGCAACAACAAAAACCCTGCCTCCGTGTCTGGATGATTCTGGGCTGATCAGCATCACCTAAAGGAAAACTTTGGTGACGCCCGGGGAGCGAACGTGCTTTTCCAGCGGGATGCGGGCCCCGGCTTTGTGAAGCGCGGAGCCCCACGGCCCCTGCCCCTGCGGCCCGGGGGTGTTCTGGGGTGGGGGGCTGCTTACCTGCCTCAGGCAGCTGAGGCTCGGCGCTGAGGTTTTAACCAGAACTGTTTGCTGTTTATTTATTGAGAAGAGAGGGTTTCTCTTTCGCAGCATCATCTGATTTGAAGAAAGGAGGGAGGAAAGGGGAGGGTTAAAGCTAAACAAGTAAGTCCTCTCTCCGAAGGAAATGCCTTTTGCACTCTCCAGATGACCTTTTCTGAAAATGCAGCCTCTCCAGCTGACCGATTTTTATTTTGACTACAAAGTGTGGGAAACTGCACCCTAACTTCTCCACAAAGCCTAGGATGTGCACTTCTGGGTTTAGCAATATGGGGCATCTGTTGTCACCTCTCCTCTTGAGCCTGGCAGCAGTTTTTTCCAAAGGTAAGGCTCAATTTCTTCTGTCTGTTTCACTGCATCTTGTTTCTTGTTTATCTTGCATACACAGACTCTGCCCCTCTCTCTGTCATGCCTTGAATGTTGATACCCAAAATTCATGACTAAAGGACTTGGGGGGAGTCATGTGCTAGTCAAAAACAAAGATATCCTGATGGGAAATCCTGAGTGGCAGAGTTTTTTTCTTGGTCGACTGTGACAAACAGCCTACCCATTTACTGAGGCGTTTGTTACCTGCCTGTTACACTTTTGATCACGTAGTAGATGCTGGTGATGAGCTGAGCTGATATCCAACCAGCTTTGGATTGTGAAGGGTTTGCTGTCTGGGAAATCTGAAATCTTCAGGGGTACAAGCTATTGGAGTTAGCTGCCCCACTGTTATCTTCTATGTCGTTTTTCAAATTAAAAATCCCGTATCTCAGGCTGGCTGGCAATGTTTTACTGGACCAGAGAAATATGTATGTGCTTGCTGAAACGTTTAAGAGCTGTGATGAGAGCCTGAACCAGGTGCCTGATATTCTGCATGCTGAAGAGTTTGAATGTCCTGACAGCATGACTTCAGACAACTCAGTGATATCTTCCTGTTGCCCTCAAGGGTGTTTACAGTAAGAATCAGAAAACCAGCTTAGAGACAATGCACACAAATGTGTGCATTTAAACCCTCCTTTCAACTTAGAGTTTTCATCAATGGCCTCAGCCAAAAGGTGAATGCATTTTTGCAATACTTAACTTAGATGATTCTGAGCAGTCCCGTGGAACATAAATGAGGAGAAATACATGTTTCTACTGAGAAGACATTGTGCATCAACAGCTATATTTTGGCAGGAAAACAAAATTAAAACTCACACGTGGTTAGTCTTCAGAGAGGAATAATAGCATATGCATTTAATCTGTGATTTTTGGAAGCATACTAATAAAGTGTTCTGCTTATAAACATCACTATTTAAAAAAGATGTTAATTACTCTTAGCACCTTTTTACACTTCCAGATATCAGCACTTTTCTTTTTTCGTAAGGGAGTCATTTTTACTAATTACTTTGTATCCAGATCTGAACATGCCTGACAGAGGGCAAAATACACAACTGTTTGTTTCTGTGGTGGTTCCCTGTATCGAATTCACTTCTCCTCCTTTTTCTCTTAGAACAGGCTAAGAAAGAAAGGAACAAAATTGTAAGTCTCCTCAAATGTTACCTAAATGCAGCGCCTACATGAAGTTCAGTTTTAAAGTTGCAGCTGGAAATGCATTAGCAGCAGGGATTGGAAGTCTGAGCCTTTTCAAAAGATTGCTTCATTCACATTGCACACCAGTAGCTCTTGATTTCCCAGCTAGGTTGCGAATTATGTATTTTATTATAAGCAATATCAGTACTTTGGATAGACTAACAATGCACCAAGAATATTAACTTCATCTCCTGTTTTTTGGTGTGTTTCAGTTTGCAGCCTTAACACTGCATTAACACAGTGTTTGGCTGAGATTGCAGCTTATTCAAAGACTGGAGTGTAAGTGGCGTTTCAGTCCCACAGAGCACAGTGTTTGTTTTATTGTCAGCTCAGCAATTATAACAGATAGGAGTTTATTCTTAAGTATTACCTACATCTCCTTTGAAAGATAAACAGGCAGAAAAATTGGACTTGGAAAGGAGGTCTCTTAGGTGGAAAAAAAATGCTATAAAAACTGACAAGTGAGATTTTTCTGTGTATTGTGATTGTGAAGTCTCATTAAATCTGATATGTCTTGAAACCAGATACACAAGATCCCATTAGTATTACTGATACTGTCTGTGTTATTTATTTTGCATTTCAGATATCCAACATACTACTGTGTGGTTGCTGGGACTCTTTGCTGTTTAGTAATACAGATATCTATCTTTAATGTAATTGCCTGTTTCCATAGTTGGTAACAAACTCCATCTGTACTACTATGCCTCAGCACACTCTGAAAATACCAGAGTGTTCCAGAGATTTACAGTATAAACTTGACAATGTAAAAGGTTGATTTCCCCTCACCCTGTAAGAAGATGAAAACCCAAAAAATAATCAGACTTGATTACTACTACGGGGCATGTTTCTTTGATGCCTTTCTATTGCTAATAGAAAAACTCTCTCATTTATGACATGATGACAAAGTTTTCCTAAAGAGATAAAAAAAAATCTTTTAACATGCAACAGCAATCAGCTGTCTATTGTGTATAGGTCTGTTGCTGATTGCACAGAACCATGGCAACACACCTTTTTACTACACAGTCTCCAAATCTTTCAGGTAATAATGTTAAAGACTTGAGAATACTATTGCAGTTTTGCTTTGCTTTTATCTTGCAAATGCAGAAAATAGCTCCAGCCTGAGAAATGAAATGTTGTTTTCAGTAATGAGATTCGTGTTCTTATCTGAACTATTTGTCACAGATTATATAATCCACGTATTTTAATATATTATTAGTCTAATTATTTATGTGTGTATGTGTACATTTATATATACATAGACAAAGGACAGAGTTTATAAGGCTGTATGGGAGTAGTTGCATTTCACAGCTTTGTCTTCAACAGTTTTCTTGAGTCAGTCCCAGGGAGTCAACGCTTCCCCTCAGTCAGTTGGGCATTTTGCTATTTGGTATCAACTATGAAAAAGAATTCTTCAGAAATCTTCAGTTAAAAAATAACCAAGTCCAGTTAACGTTAGTGAAAACAAACTAATACAACTGGCACAATAATGTGTTTTATTCACACAATAATGCGCCCCTTGAACAAGGCACATTTTATTCCCTTGTTCAAGGGGAAAACCTCTCATTAGCTTCACTGGAGTAGAATAAAAACTTTAATACTTTCCTTGAACAGCAGGTTCCATGCTTTGCTTATGTCTGTAATGAACTGAGCATCTCCTGTAAGATGCTAAATGGTTTTAGGATGTATATGGTGAGACTTAAGATTGAGGAGCCTTTTACATTATGAATGTTTGTTGTCAGATAAAAAATCTGATTTAATTAATTTCATACTTCAAGTCTAAATTGACAGTAACAAAATAAGTGAATATTTTAGTGACTTTTTCTGCCTGCATTCTGCTGAGCATTCCGTATACTCCTCTGTCATCCTTGGCTGAAATCTTCCCGCAAGTCGCTTTCTAATGAGATCTCAGGCCACATAGCTATTGTTTTGATTTTCTTTTTCTCTCAGTTTTCATAAATGTGGAGACTTGGCAGCTGTGTTAGGCAGGATTACCTTGTATACCCCAAAGAGTGCTCCCCATAGGCTAGAGATGTGGGTAGGACATTTGCAGCGATGCCAATCTTCTATTATAGGAAAGTGTGTTTCCTTTGGAATTATCCATATTACAGTATTCTTTGAACCCTCTTGGTTTCCATTGAATCTTATACCGTAGATTTTTTTGTCTCATTATGGACAAACTTTATCTTTGGCTTTCTCTATGCAGTTTTACTGATCCTGTGATGATACTTAGTAGCAGAATATGTCACTGTCCACATTGCTGAAATATTTCACTGAGAATTTCAGTGGGTTATATCTTTGTGAACTGCAGTTGTATAGGAAGCCACTTTCCTTCCCTTTGATCTCACTTGTGAATCCACTGGCTTCAGTGGGAGTAGTGGTGTACAGAGAACTACACAGCTGAGCTTGTTAGTTATGTTCCATCTTCCAGAAGGCTCTGGGCCATTTCTGAAGATCTTTATGTGCAGATCTTCCACTAACATTCAAGTGCACTGTGGACTTAAGTAGAAACATGGAAAATGAAAAGTTGAGGAGTGCAACCACCTGTTTTTCAGCACTACTTAATTTGGAGTTCATTAATTCTGAATGCTGGTAGTATATTAGTAATGAAAACCAGTGCTGTATATGGGATTAAAACTGAAGATTATTTTATTTGATTTAAGATACATATTTTTTTTTTCCCTGTCCTTCTTGGTGATGACTAGACAGGAGTTCAGGGTTGAATTTCAGTTCACATTGACAGATTTTGATTGTGATGATGAGAGACACGTTGTTTTCTCAAAGTAACAGTGCTGACATTACTTGTGGACAGACTCGTCATGGGCATCTGTAGCCTTAGCTGTGCAATTGATACGTATAAATGATTTTACTGCATGCTGATTTCAAGTGAGCATAAAGTGCAGGTGTGGTCAGTAGGAGTTTTGCTTGTAAGCTTTGCCTATGTGCAGAAACCCAAAAGATTTCTTAAAAGCCGAAAAGATAAAGGAAATCTTTCTAGCTTAAGGTTCAAGCTGTTCCCATGAAACCAAAGTTTTTGTACTTTGTCCCGGCTGTATTGAGCTTACAGTTGTTTGAGGCATTATACAAAGGAAAGGGAAACTAAGTTGCACTTTTTTGCTCTTATTGTGTTTCTTCTCACAGTGTACTTCTGGGAGAAGCCCCGTTCTGATTTCTTCTCTTTCAGTAAAAATAATAAATTCAGACTAAACTAAAAAATTCTACAGCTAGACACATGTTTTATTTGTCAGCTGCAATACTGGTTTAATGTGATTTGGTTTCTAATATTTCCCTGTAATGTTCTCATTTTTTACTTCTGTCTTTTCTTTTATTAGTTCCACAGGACTGGCAGGCTCTGTGACACCAACCAATGTTTTAGATATTAATAAAAGCAGCTTTATTCAATAAAGATCAGTTTTATTTAATAAAAGAGAGAATCAAAAGATAATATGATTTTTCGTGCTGTGTTCACATTAAATCAACCTCCTGAGGTGGCTGTGGATGCCAAGTCTAGTGGCAGTCTATCACAGGTTCTAGGATACATAAACATGACTCCAGACAGATTGATTGCAGAGAAGCTGAAGAGGCAGCTGAGATTCGTCGCAGGTTTGGTTTGTAAAGTGTTACATTAAATTACTTGATTTTCGCCAGTCTTTGTAATATTGCCTGCTGCATTATTAATGGCAGTTTAAAATGAAGTGGATTTTAAATAGTTCAGAGACATTTAGATAACACTAATTACTATAAGCAGATTTAAAGTACATATTTGAGGA